GTGATACTGAGGGTCAACGCAGTCCCCCTCCAACCCGCAGGTGCACTTCTGAGCATCAGGCAAAGAACCTGCCCAGTAAGTGTGCGTCTCGTTGGTTCCTCCAACCCACCAGCTCAGTGGGGTTCCGTCTGAAAGACAAGTTTGAGAACGGTGACGTCTGCTTGCCACCCCCCACCTCCACCACCCCAGACAACCCTCTTGTCTCCAGATTATTAAGAAACCCACGGAGCAAAAAGAAAGTCTGTTTTAGAAATGATTCTATGGACACAGTAACAGGTTGGCATTTCTTTAAGAATTCTAGCCGAGGTTTCTGTTCGTTTTTCTGATTCCGTTGTATTCCTTAAACCGCCCCTGGATGGTGTTTTGCTAGGAAATGAGCAGTGATACCTAACGCCTTCAGTCAATGAGGTAAATAAATTTTGAACAGCAACATTATGAAATTTCTTTAAGAACTATGTTAAAAAGTGGGTTGCCATCAAAACTAAAAAGCAAACAAGAAGGTGAAAACCATGGTTGACAGACTGAAGGTGACATCTGCTTGAGATCACGAAATGCCTGCTGGATGAGCAAAACAAAACCTAGTCTTCAGCGTCCTCTGCCCAGTCCTCGATTTCCCTCACACACTATTCACAGAGAAGCCCTGGCTGCAGGTCTCATTTCGACATCTGTGGGTGCCAGGGAGGGGTACCCCTGCCATGGCATAAGAGGTGTTTGGGGTTCAGGTGTATTTCTGGTACTCAAAATCTTATCTATTCACGTGCAGAGAAGCAAAGGAAACACGAGCAATCTCGCGCCTGCCTGACAGGAATTTTGTTAGAAAACGGTCACTGATCAGGATGAACTGGAACGTTCTGCCTCCTATTTAGCTAGAGCTTGACTCCCCCTGAATGCCCTGGTACCACAGATTAGTGGGACGAGGTTGCCAAGAGCCCTTGAAGGGAACACCCCCATGCCCAGGGGAGGAGGTGTGAGGCCAGGACGCCGTCCCCAGAGAACCAGGGTGCGAGGACAGCTGTTCTCAGGGAGCATGGCCATTTCTGCATTTTCTTCTAATCCTGTGAGCATCACATGAGGCCCCGTAGTGAACTGGGAACACATCACAGCCACCGTGGTCCTCCAGAACCGAGAAAATTACTCACAAATGGGCAGTGGTCGTAGCCACCAGCTCCCAGAAGTGCATAGAGCACAAAGAAAATTTGCTTCAAATTAAGCTGAAAGCTCATTACTGGGAGGCAGAAGGTGGTTAAAATATTTAATAGATATTTTTGCTAATAACACTTTAAAATTTTAATTATTTCACCATTACACTTCTCAAAATCAAAGACAAAAGACATCACTGCATTCCAACTTACAACTGTATTTTTAACATCTAAATTTCTCATCTTCCAATAAAATGGTAATTATCAATTGGTTATGATGATATCCAGGGCCTTTAGCTGCATCTGTGAGTTTTTGAGTATTCTAGAGATTTGGGGAAGATGTAAGAAATAATTAAGAAAACAAGAGAATAAAAGAAGAAAACAAGACAGAAATAGAAAAATTGAGTGAACCAGGAAACACGTCCCACTAGCTCCTAGCTCAGTCCCCAGCTTGGAGTCCCCTCCCACCTTCTAGCCGCCAAGCCTCACACACCAGGGGTCTCCCTGCAAGGCATGACCAGCAGATGTGCACTTCCATGTTCTGCACATTTCCATGTTCTGCGCATTTGCATGTTCTTTGTGCTCCTGCATTCTGCACATTTGCAAGTTCTGTGCACTTGCATGTTCTGAACATTTGCTTGTTCTGTGCATTCACATGTTCTGTGAATTTGAATGTTCTACATGTTTCCATGTTCTGTGCACTTGCCTGTTCTGTGCATTTGCACGTTATGTGCACGGCAAACACACCCAGCACAGCTTCATTCCAGACCTCACCATCTGACACTGCCTCTGAGTTCTGAAAGTCTGAGACAAACCTGGTGTCTCACCCCTCTGACTTCTGTGGACTCCAAACCCC